CTTCCAAGAAAGTGAATAGATGTGACACATCTCAAAGAATGAGGGTGCAATCACAAAGGCATTTGTTGTGTGGTTTGATCTGGGTTGGGAATGGGCTTGCCTGCTCCTTTCCCCCGCAACCACCTGCCATGGGGCCAATGCAAACCAGCCCATCTCGGATCCATGCCTTACCCACAGGCATAGGGTTCCTGTCAGGGGCTATATGGGTAGGATCACTATGTTTTGGTTTGGTTGCAGCATGTGTGATCGCTGGGATTGAACCAAAGCAGCTGGCTGGCAAGGTGAAGCTACTTAACAATCTTGAGAAATGAAAAGCTTCCTTTTGGTTCACCTGCAAGGGTAAGGGATAGGTTTTGCATTGCTTTTTTATTGTTGCTAATAGAGATGGGGTGAATTAAAAAATGGCAATTCGTTGTGATTCATGATTCATCAAGGTTAACGAATCAATGAATATGAATTTATGAATATTCATTGCTGAATTGATGAATCAATTCATTTTCACTTTAAAATGCTATAAAACTGGCCCCCAAGCACCTAAAGACACCATATTTGCAGGGAAGCTTCCTAAGATGGTTTTCTACAAGTCCAGCATGGTTGGTGAACATTGGGTAACAAGGTAAAGGTAAAGATAGTCACACACAATTTTTGTCCAGTCGTGTTCGACTCTAGGGGGCGGTGCTCATCCCCGTTTCCAAGCCATAGAGCCAGCGTTTTGTCCGAAGACAATCTTCCGTGGTCACATGGCCAGTGCGACTTAGACACTGAACGCTGTTACCTTCCCACCGAGGTGGTCCCTATTTATCTACTTGCATTTGCATGCTTTCGAACCGCTAGGTTGGCGGGATTGGGTAACAAACCCCTGAGTTATATAGTCACACGGAGGATACCCGCAGGAAAGTTCCGCCCAGGTACTTAGAGAATCCTAAATCACACTAAAGCTTCCTATGTCTTTCCACAATATGCCTGCCAAGTTTGGTGAAGATTGCATATCAGACATCTGAGTTATTTGCCCACAAATTGGCTCACCACAGGATAGTTTACTACACAGAACAGAAGCAGATGGCACTGAGGGAGTTTGGTTTGTCTCTAGCAGGCACACAAAGGCATGAGGCATTGAGGTAGGCATTTGTCTTCAGCAACATCATATTTGGCAGTGACTTAGAGTTTGCCTCCAGGAGGCAATGAGGTATTTGTCAAAGTAGACTGTGGCCCCATCAGGCACTGAGGCACAGACATGGCAGCAAAGTAGACTGTGACCCGATCAGGCACTGAGGCACATGACAGCAAAGTAGACTGTGTGGCCCCATCCGGCACTGAGGCACATGACAGCAAAATAGACTGTGGCCGTATTGGCACTGAGGTACAGACATGGTAGCAAAGTAGACTATGGCCTAATCAGGCACTGAAGTAGTTGGCAGCAAAGTAGACTGTGTGCCCCCATCTGGCACTGAGGCACAAGGTGGCAAAGTAGACTGTGGACCCATTGGACACTGAGGCACAAGGCAGCAATGTAGAATTTCTGGCCCCATCAGGCACTGAGGCACAAGGCAGCAATCTATTCCTAGGCAGGATCACAGCTGTGGGATTTGGATATTCCAGGTACCAACATAATTCTTAGTGGATAGGGTGGGGAGAGACATTGGGGGAGGCGTTGGTGGTGTATTGGCAGAAATCTGCCACATGGATGAGCAAGAGGGAGGCATTTGCCATCAAGGTGGGATTAAAACAAGCCTCCAAAAATAACTAAAGTGTGCTCTTTTTGGCTGCCAGGGAGGGAAGGGTTGCCCCTGCCACATTGGCATAGGTCACCCCTGCCACGTTGTCATTGGGGCACGCAGGGAGGGAAGGGTGCCCCTGCCATGTTGGCATCAGGGTGCCCGAGGAGGGTAGGATGCTGGATTCAGCAAGCAGCATTTGAGAATGAAGCCCAAGGAAGCTGGAATCAGCAGGCAGGCCTTTGGAATGTAACCCAAGGAAGCTGGAAGGGGCTGCAGGATTTGAGAACACAGCCCAAAGAGGGTTGATCACAGACCACCTCCCTCACAGAGTCATAGAGCGAGGGCAGCACTCTAGAACTGAGGGTTCTCCATGAGGGGAGGTCATGCCAGGGGGCAAAAAACTGCAGCAACTGGCAGAAGGCTGGGGTTTCCACAGTGCACAGTGGAAGTTCGAGCAGGGCAATCGTCTTGGTGACAAGATGAGTGGCTGCCTCCTGGACATTGCCATTCGACCACAGGCTAAGAGGCATTGTAGACCCAACAGGTGCCACTTTGTGGAGCGTGGCCTGACTCATGCTCCCAGCCCCAGAAACCCCCGTGGCTGCCCTTTTGGAAGGAGGTGCCCCCTTCTGCCTCTCCACATCTCCTCCCTCCCCCAGACAGCAGTGACAAGGTGCCTTCTGCAGACAGGAGCTTGGGTGGTCCCGCTCCAGATTTTGGCAGAGGGTGGTGGAGGATAGATGCCTGGGATCCGACCCCCTCCAGACCACCCCCAAGGCGGGCATTGCAACATGCCAGCTGTGGGTCATCGTTGACCACTGTGAAATGATCCTACATGGCCCCTCTGCCATGTTTACCAAAATGGCCCACTGCCTCCCCCTGATTGCTGCTGGCCTGGGAAGAACTCTGTGTCCCAGGGGTGCTGCTGGTCTGGGAGGAGCGAACATATGACTCTGGGGACAGGGCGGGAGGGGGATTGTGAAGCCTGCTCTGCTGTTACTGGTTCCAAATCAGACTGGGGATTTTCACAAATCCGTAACTCCTCAGATTGGCCTAGGAAGAGGAGCGGCAGTTTTGGGGGCACCTGTGGAAGCTTTGCTTCCATGCCTGCCTGCAAGGCCACCAGAGGAGGAACGGCGGTGGCAGTGCCACTGCCTAGCCTACGTAGCTTCACAGGCTTCCTGCCCTTCAATTCCCTGTGGTGGAGACTTCCTTTCATTTTCTACTGCCTATACCTACCTGCCAAACCAACTAAACAGATAATAAAGTGATGTGGAAAGAAACTAAGAGAGATTAGAGAGGGTCAGAGGTGTGTGTAAATTTTATTTTTTAAAATGATGTTGGGGACTGGAGAGTGGTGGACTAATTCTTTGTTAAACTATAATGTGACCTGCCTAAATAAAGTCCCCCCCCCCAGTGTAATGAAATAAGTAGAATGAATTTTGATTGAACACAAGTCTCCAAAAATAACTGTTAGTTTTGTTAGTGTTAAGCCCTGCATCCTGCTCCTAGTCCCAGTTAAATCAATTTCTCAATGGTAAATCAATTTTTATGTCAATTCCATTGAGTCAATGGGTTTACTCTGCTTGGGACTAGCAAGAGGATACTGCATTGATCACTGTTTCTTGTTGCCTCTTGCTTGCAGAGTGGGAATCTATCCATGTCTTTCAAGAAAGAAAGTCACTGTCTCGTGGAGATTTTGCAACAGTATTTTTATTTATGCGTGAACAACTGAGCAAGTGTTACAGATGGAGAGCTGATAGCATAGCATAGGCAAGGGGTCCTATTTCCAAAGCATTGGACAACTCAACAACCTGAAACTCTCAAAACTGCTCCTCTTTGGATTCATCTTAGCCATCCACCAATAAAAACTGAAACTGAGGCCCTTTTCTGTGGATTTGATTGCATCAAACTCACTTTAGTTCCTAAATAGGAAGTGGACATTCATCTGTATTCCAATAAATAAAATGAACATCCTATTCATCCAATACATTGCAGTTCTATGTCCATCTTCTGTTTAACAGGTGCTGGTCACGTTTGTGCACACCCAATGACAGCTGGGCCAATTATAGTTCTTGTTTCCAAATCTTGAAATGACCCCCTGAAAAACCTAATGGATAAAATTGTATCTAAATTGGGTACCTGCAGGTAACTGACATAATAAAATCATATAATAAGAAAACAGTGATAGTTTTTGGTTGATGTGATCGGCTTCTAACCATACATGAAATGCATGTATAATTGCACGTTATATGTCAGGGACATAGTGGTACTGTGGGTTAAACCACTGAAGCCTCTGTGCTGCAAGGTCAGAAGACCTGCAGTTGTAAGATCGAATCCACACAACTGAGTGAGCCCCTTTTGCTTGTCCCAGGTCCCACCAACCTAGTGGTTCGAAAGCATGCAAAATGCAAAAATGCAAGTAGATAAATAGGTACCACCTCGGTGGGAAGGTAAACGGTGTTCTGTGTCTAGTCACGCTGTCCACGTGACCACAGAGGATTGTCTGCAGACAAACACTAGCTCTATGGGTTGGAAAAGGAGATGAGCACTGCTGCCTAGAGTCAGACATGACTGGACAAAATTGTCAAGTGGAACCTTTTTTTATATGTCAGTAAAGATATGTTCATAGGGACATGGTGGCACTGCGGGCTAAACCGCAGAAGCCTGTGCTGCAGGGTTAGAAGACCAGCAGTTGTAAGATCGAATCCACACGACGGAGTGAGCTCCCGTTGCTTGTCCCAGCTCCCGCCAACCTAGCAGTTCGAAAGCATGCAAATGCAAGTAGATCAATAGGGACCACCTCGGTGGGAAGGTAACAGCGTTCTGTGTCTAAGTCGCATTGGTCATGTGACCACGGAAGATTGTCTTCAGACAAAACGCTGGCTCTATGGCTTGGAAACGGGGGTGAGCAGCGCCCCCTAGAGTCGAACATGACTGGACAAAAATTGTCAAGGGGAACCTTTACCTTTACCTAAAGATATGTTCAGACTATTAGTAGTCTTTGAACAGATAATGATCCAGTAATTAAATACACATATTTGGAATGGTCATAATAATACTGTGAATTGACCAAGGAATTTTTTTAAAAGTGTGTATTTTGTATATCTATTTCTTTGACCTTATTACTTCTCCGTCTGACAAAGCATGTTAAAATTAGTCCATAACTTACAATATACATAGCACTAAACCTTATGTACTTCTCAATTCTTTTTTATAGTGCTTTAATACCAAATTATTATTCCTATATTAAATATTATTATCTTAGACTCTGCATATTGCTTATGCACCTCTCTCTACAGAAGTTGCTGGTGGGTTGCCCATATCTACACTAGCATATCCTTTACAGTTACAAAACTTATGGCAGCTGACACTGGCCACAAATTGGTGTCTGCCATGCCTGCAGGGAGTAAATTCTACACAAGTCTGTGCCTTGTGGTTAGCAGCCAGAGTTCCCAATCTGCAGAAAAATATAAAGGAGAATGATCATGAGTGGTTACTGATAATTAGACATAAAAGGTTTCAGGAACAAATATGGATGTGATGAGATGACCTCGGTGATTAATGACATTCAGTTGACATGACCATCAGAATTATATGCACAAAACAATGAGATTCTGAATGGAAGATCATGGCTGATACAGAGAATCAAAGTAGAGAAAAGAAGCCTGGATCATTCCAAAGTATGTGTATATTGGCCCTGCAGGCTTACTTACTCAGTAGTTATCGGTTCACCGATGAGTCCATAGCCTTCCAGGTTCAGTACACAGTTCTCAAGGTCCTCTTTGAGGGGATTACAGAAGGTGACTTCTGTAGAGCATGGTGTATTCAATGTGGGATGTTCTAAAAGCTAAAATTCAATAAAATGAAGAAACATTTGTTGTTGCATCATTCTCAAGTACCAGGCTTTCATAATAATTAACATTAATATATGTCAAGGCTGGCTATTATGCAGATTGCTGGTCAAAAGTCCTTATGCCACTGAAATATCTTTTTGCAGTAGCTAATGGCTAACATTCAACATCTTGGTATATTGATCTCTGTTGGATGTTTGGAATGGAGAAACCATCAGACGTTGGGAGAGTGATGGAATCCACAGTTTCCTGCTGGCATAAGTCTAAAGAAAGACAGTTTTGTTAGGAAAAGACAGAAGGAGATGAAGGCACCTGAGGTGTGAAGATACAATGGGAAAACTCAGAGAATATGCTTTCCTGCCAGAAGGATGTGTCATTTTTTCCACTTGTGGTCTACTTCTGTTTGTATCTAACCCAGGTATTAGGAAAAGCACCATATATCTCCACTACACTCTTTTCCACAGAAAATGGAAATCCTAGTAACACAAACTGGTAAATCTGGAAGTCCTAACCAATTGGAAACCTGGGGAGGAATTAGCAATCTGTATTTGCAAAGCAAAATGGAAATTACATACTCCTATGATGATGCCTTAGAATTCTTTCTGAAGCAGTATTAAACTTACAGTGAAATTTCTTCAAGTCCATTGGGGCAGTCTGCTGGAAGATGGAGACACTCAGCCCTGACCATAACTAGCTGTTAATGATTGGTTCCTGTAAGAATTTTTAAGATCTTTACCTTTATCTCAACAGGTAAACTGTCAATGAGAATATCCCTCTGCACCATCGTGAGTTCTCCTTTGGATTCTGGCATGGAGACTGCTACCACTCTCATAATATTATGGTCACAAAGATGAGATCCATAATTTTCATATGGTATAACTATCAGAGTTGTCTTCACTGTAATACAAAATTAATTTAAACACACTTTTTAGAGCCAGAATTTCCCTCCCCAGGTGTTATAGTGTTTGCCATTATAGGGTTGATCAGACTCTTCCCTCCCTTCCTATTTCTCTCTCTTTTTTATCGTCCTTCCCCTTTTTAGGGAAACAATAAATTTAAAAAAAAAACAGAAGTAGGAATGCATTAATATCATTCAGTTTTTCACTAAATGTTTAACTCTGTGGTGTAATTGTTACCTATGATCTTATACCTGCATATGTGTGCACAGATTGACGTGACCCAATGAGATAACTTACACTTGGCAATGGATAAGGAAAAGTACAATCTTGTTGTTCTCTTGGACCTGTCAGTATATTTCATTATCAACAACCATTATCTTTCTGGACCATAGGGCAGTGGTCCCCAACCTTGGGCCTCCAGATGTTCTTGGACTACAACTCCCAGAAGCCTTCACCACGACCTCTGCTGGCCAGGATTTCTGGGAGTTGAAGTCCAAGAACATTTGGAGGCCCAAGGTTGGGGACCACTGCCACAGGGGACACAATACAGTATTATGGTGCTTGCACTTCTGGACAGTATCAAAAACTAATGCTTCAGGATTGCTACATCATATGGCCATCAGCCTCATAATGCTGGCAAGGTTCCATCTCATTCCCTGTACCTTTAAATAGCTACATCAGAGCACCAATAGAAGTCATTCAGATCTTTGGGTCACAGTGCCACCAATGTGTGGATGACACTCACCTCTACTTCTTATTTCTATCTAAAGGTTTTAGAAACCTGAACCAATGTTTGCAGGTGGGTTGGAGAAACTTTAAGGGAGTTGAGGGTGTGGTCAAACAACACAAGCTGTAATGCACCGAACACAGAAATATTGTGGGCAGGAAAATGAGCCTATCTGTGTGAAGGAATAAAGGAATCTTAAATGGAGTTGCACTTCATCCAAGATTCATTGTGGGGAATCTACTGGTGGAATGATGAGAGAGCTGGGGCCTTGCCAGACCTGTAACAAGGTGGGTTTCATTCTTTCTCTTCATGAGAATCAACAGAATAACAGTAAAAGACTGCCTATCAGCTCGCTAGGAATTGTTATGTGAAGTCCGGCAGAGCTCAGTTGCTCTTAAACATATGCATAAGTCCATTGTCAGATATCATCTCTGGCTTTGGAGTTGGGAGTTTATCAATTATGTGAAGTATTTTATTACTAAGCTGCTGTAATAGTATTTTGATATGGGCCATTTTGGATATCTTCAAACAGAATAATAACATATACATGATAATAATAAACAAATAATAAGCAAACAAGAGTCTGTTTGTACTCTGAAAGGCTTTCACGTCTGGGATCCAATGGTTGTTGTAGGTTTTTTGGGCTGTTTGGCTGTGTTCTGGAGGTTTTTCTTCCTAACGTTTCACCAGTCTCTGGCCGGCCACAGAGACTGGTGAAATGTTTGGAAGAAAAATCACCAGAACACGGCCAAACAGCCGGAAAAACCTATGACAACCAACAAGAGTCTGTTTATTAGTTTAGGCTGATATGAAAGGTGGAGAGGGTAGAATTTGCCTTGGTGATTCACATGGTGATGGCTCCAGGCTAGGCTATGGCAATGTATTCTAGCTGTGGTTACGTTTATAGAGGGTTCAGAAACTTCATCTGGTACAGAATATAGTCACCCCTAGCTGGGAAGATCTTCTCACACAACAGTGATACTGTGCCAGCTGCACTGCCTGCTCAGTTTAAAGTGTTGGCTCTAAGTGTTATCACTTTAAATGATTTCGGACCAATTAACTGAGGGACTTCCTTTATCTGTCTCTTGTCCCTCATTTGTCTGTCCCAAAGAGCAGATAGGTTGGTGATCATGAATCAGCGAGCCTTTTTAGTTGTGTCCCTACATCAGTGGTCCCCAACCTTGGGCCTCCAGATGTTCTTGGACCACAACTCCCAGAAGCCTTCACCCCCACCTCTGCTGGCCAGGATTTCTGGGAGTTGAAGTCCAAGAACTTCTGAAGGCCCAAGGTTGGGGACCACTGCCCTACATCTCTGAAATAGATTTCCATATGGAAAGCTCAAAGTATTTCGTTGTTTTGACTGGCAATTCCTTGCCTTTGGGCACTACTGGTTTTATTAATAATATGGAATCATATATGAGTACTCTATCTTAAGAAAGACACCAATAATGCTCATCTACATGCTCACTCACTACTCCTTTTATATCAGTTATAATGTAGAGCTCATCCATGAGTAGGAAATGCTATTTTCTCCTTTATATGACAGTTAAACAAAATTCCAGCAGTACAACACATAGCAGAAGATAATTTTTAACTGAATTCTAAATTCTAATTATCACTTGTCCTGCAAAACATAATCTGCACTGCTGAATTCCCAGTGGACCTTAGAGCTGCCCATACCAGCTTCATGTAACAGAGACATTTTTTTTCATTTACAGAATGAAAGTAATATACACAGGATCAGCATTACTGCCAGGTGAAGGCTTATTATTTTCTCTGGCTTCTTCTTGTATACTTGCTTTAATAACCCACATTTAATGTATTTTACAGTACAGTGGTGCCTCGACTTACGTACGTCCCTACCTATGAACATTTCAACTTACAAACAGCTCCGGTTGCAAAATTTTTCTTCAACTTGCGACTGGAGCTTTGACTTACGAACGGAAAAAAAGTGGGGAAGGCGGGGAATGCGGGAAATTTGAACTTTCAGTTAACCGTTGGCCAGCGAAGAGGCTGCTTCTCTGCTACCTCGCTCGCCCCAGCGGTTAGAGAGTGTGGATATGGAGAGAAACTTCAGACTGCCTGGTACTGCCTGGCACCGCCTGGTACTGCACTGTGCGTACTATATTTTTTTGGCTTTTTAAATTTTTGATATTTGACTTTCTTTTTTAAAACAGAGAGACTCCCTGTTCTGGGTGAGTACACTGTATTTACTGTACAGGGGTTTTGCAGGTTGGGTTTGGGCTAGGTGGGGGGTTATGTTTATGTGCTCTGATGGGTCTTGCAGACCCTTTCTGCAAGGGCCTGTGCTGGCTGGTGTGCTCTAAAATTGAGTTTAGTCTTTTTGTTTTAAAAACAAATTTTTTGCAGGGGTCTGTGCTGGCTGGTGTGCTCTAAAATGGAGTTTAGTCTTTTGGTTTTAAAATCAGAATTTTTTTTTGCAAGGGTCTGTGCTGGCTGGTATGCCCTAAAAGGGAGTTTAGACTCAAGTCTCCCCCCCCCCAATTGTTGCTTGGTTTGGTTTAAAATGTGTTTTGTTTAAAAGTTGCTTGGTTTGGTTTAAAATGTGTGGGTTTAAAATGTGTTTTAGACTCCAGACTCTCTCCACCCATTGTCTTCTCTCTGTATGTGTCTTCTCTCTTTTTGTGCTTAAAAGCACAAACCTTTGCCTGAGGTTTGCCTGTGTGCCCCAGTGATGACTTTCTTTATTTCTTCTTTTTCCCATTGTTCCCTCCCTCCCTCTTTTCCTGCTCTTTTTTAAACCTAAGTCCTCTTAGGTTAAAAAAAAATCTCCCCCTAGTGGTAGAGGATGGATTAACCAGGTTTGCATTAGTTCCTATGGGAATGAATGCTTTGACTTACAACCGGTGCCTGGTGCCTCTAGTCTACATACTGTACAACCAAAAAACAGCCGGAACGGATTAATGGGGTTTCAATGCATTTCAATGGGAAATGCTGATTCGACTTACGAACATCTTCTGGAATGGCTTAAGTCGGTAATTCGAGGCACCACTGTAATTTGGAAACAACATAAAGCTTAATTTATAAAGGCAGTTTATGAATTTAGGAAGCAAACACACATTACCTTCTCTTGGGCCAAGTGTGACATGCATATTTTCCTTCCAGAGCTGATCCATTGCACATTCATTGTACATCATTCCCTGAGCACAAAGGTTGAATTTCTTGTCTTTGATTTCATCACCCACGTTTTCAAGTACCCAGTTGATCTGAACATCTTGACCATAAATGGGACGATTAGCCATTGTAAACTTCATTGTGAGCCCAGTTTCTTTCAGACTTCTGTTTCTGCTAGAGGTTATATCTTTCTCTATGTCAGAATTAGTAGCATTGAGGTACTGAGGATTAATTTTTCTATAAGCTCTACAGAGAGCTGTTTTTTCTTGCACAGAACCTGGAAGAGGAAACAATATCAAATAATGAATTAAATGTTATTTTAGTTTATTACCAATGTTCAGTTTGGATAATATTATCTGATCTTTGATTTTTCTTGTGATTATGTTTGGTAAACAATATTTGAGGGGGAAAGTCCAGTAAAAATCATTTTTTAAATAATATAAGAAAAATTAGGTTTTTAGCACTGTCACAATTTTAAATTTCAGTTATTACTAGCAAAATTAATTAGTCATTACCCAATTCATGCTTATAAGCTTCAGTGACATCTTCATGTGCATTACTTCCAACACTCTTGGTGCTGATACATTGGCCACAAGTCTGGGTATCGCAATGAAGTTTCGTCTTCTTGCCTCTGCTTTGAGAAACCCAAGCAGACCTCCTTGCATTTAGCATACAAAATACACGGTGACCATCAGAGTCAGTATCCACATCTCCATTTCTGATGTCTTTGACCCAAATTGGGCCACTGCACACTGACCCTAAGATAAACACAAATATATTAGCCAGGGCAAACTGGATAATGATTAATGTGACCTTTAAGAATCTATTTCTCTTAAAAACAGACCTGAACACTCAGATACCATATTTTGCTATTTATAACATGCCCCATTTTTAACACACGCACACACACCCCAATTTTCTAACCCCAAAATTAAGAAAACTTATCTTTGAGGATTCAGCCTTTGGGCTCAGAACGTCGGACATTTTGAGTCTCTGTTGAATCTTGAGACTACAGGCTCCACCTCCAAGGAGGGGTGTTGCAATTGGTTTGTTCAGGATCAGCTGGCATCAGTTCCATAAGGCTTGTGACTGGAGGAAGCTAAGCCTCGTGACTGAAGCCTGTTTACAGAGGCAAAGTATGTGCCGTTTTTTCCTCTCCTCAGCTATCTCAGCTTACTTCTGTGTAAAATATGCCCCTCAGTTTTAATGTAATGATTTTAGGGAAAAGTCTTATAGACAGAAAAATACGGTAATTCAGATTTACTTCATATATTTGAAAAATGTCTGTGAGGATTCTAATACATGGCAGAGTGCTACAACTAATTCCCTATCCACCTAGATAGAGCTCACCAGCACACAAAAATAAATCTCCTAGTTTTGCTACTACTGCTACTAGTTTGGAAAAGCCAAAAATAGAGGACAAATAGAAGCCATCAGAGTACTATCTCCTGTGCTGCTGGAATAATAGAATTCCCAGACCAGGGGTGAGGAGCCCACTTTGTAGTATTTCTCACATCAGTAGTAATCTGCTTTTTGAATGGATGACACTGCCATGGATAAGAGTCTCAGCTTCAGCACGTTCCATAAGACCTGGCGGACCTAGATCTTCTTACACAGCTTGAGCAGGGTTGAAAGGGACACTGTTCCTATACTATCTCATTAACATTAAAAACGCTTCTAATTTACTTGGCAGGCTAATGCTGCATTCAGCTTGATAAGTCACAAGCAGTGCAAACCTGCTCCTGTATTGCAAGTCAATTTGGTCATTCAACTTGACTGCAAACAGCCATCCTGGACACTTATAGGCATGCACCAAATTGTTTAAGTACTTAGTAGAGTCTCTTGTGGTATAAAACTGTACAATCAAATGAGAAGGGGTACATCAGAAGTCAACCTTTTGGACATCCATCAGCACTGATGCTACTTTCTCAGCACAAGGCAACTACGTTGCACAAAAAAAGAGATACAGATGAGATGGACAATTAATCAAACAAGCATAAGAATTTGTGGATGTAATTTCATTAGCATTGCACAGTTTAGATAAGGATGTATACTCCCATCTATTATGCATGTAGATATAATATTCTTATCTTCTGTATTCGCAAAGGCTTTCACGGCCAGGATCTAATGGCTGTTGTGGGTTTTTCTGCGCTCTTTGGCCGTGTTCTGAAGGTTGTTCTTCCTGACGTTTCACCGGTCTCTGTGGCCTGCATCTTCAGAGGACAGCAACCATTAGAAAGCCTTCGCAAATACATTGTATTAATGTTATTTTATTTTATTATTACTTGGAGTGTTGTTAGCCGCCCAGACTTCCTTCTAGAATAAAATAAATAAATAAAATGTTAAAAGTAAGCATTCTCCGGCTGGANNNCTGTCTTCTGAAGATGCCAGCCACAGAGACTGGCGAAACGTTAGGAAGAACAACCTTCAGAACACGGCCAAAGAGCCCAGAAAACCCACAACAACCATTCTTATCTTCTCTTTGGCTCTATTAGTTGTTACTTTCAGGTCATTAATCATCCATACCCTACAGCACATGCCTATCTTCAGATTGGATGCTTAATTTACCTTTACTTGTCTCTACAGGAGTTGGATTCAAATATTGCCAATCACCCTCAGATTGATTTAAGTCTTTTCGGACCATCCAAGATTCATTCCAGCAATTATATATCCTGTAGGGTGCAAAAATGGAGTTAGGATGAGCTATAAGACTCATAGGCCTCTTGTAGGTGACACGGGGAATTTTGTAGAATGCAGAAGAGAGGTAACGTACAGAAGTGTTCTGGAGAAACCTGAGATTTCATCAGTAACGTACTGTAAAGATTCAGTATTAATGTGGAATACTAGTACAATATAAGTTCATGTAGTTATCACTCATATTGTAAGAAGTATTCAGAATAATTAAAATTCTAAAGAATTTGCTTCTCCAGGTCTAGTTTGTGAGTTCTTGCAGAATCCATGGTTCCATGGCCAGAATATTCTGAGAGCACAAGCAGAGTAAGATGGTCTACCCATGCTATTCCATAATATCTGGCCTTGCTACTATTGCAACTGAGTGTTGCAACAGCATTGTCTTTTAAGTCCATATCCAATTGTCTGTCCATTATTAGACCACTTTTATTTCCTTCCTGATTAGCTTTGACAAAAGGTATATCTCACCAGACATGTTCTTTGCTATTTAAGGTTTTGCCTGTGTAGTCAAAAACCTCCTGAACAATGAGAGAATCAGCAGCATTCATAGGGCAATAGTAGCCCGTAACAACTCGGCTTGGGATTCCCAAACATCTCATAACTGTAAAGATAAGAAATACACAGATAATATGTCACTGAAAAAAAAATCAACATGGGAAACATTTATCTAAGTTAGGACAATCAAACCATAGGAAGAAAATTGAGCCAGCTTCCTAATTCAGTCAAGAATGACTTCACTCTAGGAGCTGGTGTGTAACTACTTGCAACAATGTCTACATATATTTAGGATACATAGACTTTCACAAACATAAGATCTGTTGTCTAAGGACATCTTGTTTTTTGAACTATGAAACTGTAAAATAGTTACATATTTAGGACAATCAAACCATAGGAAGAAAATTGAGCCAGCTTCCTAATTCAGTCAAGAATGACTTCACTCTAGGAGCTGGTGTGTAACTACTTGCAACAATGTCTACATATATTTAGGATACATAGACTTTCACAAACATAAGATCTGTTGTCTAAGGACATCTTGTTTTTTGAACTATGAAACTGTAAAATAGTTACATATATTCGCTCTTTCGCTCTCTCTCACACACACAAACACAAACACACACACCACACATAGTTACGGCTACAGTATATATATATATATATATACTGTATATATACACACGCACGCACACACGCGCACACACAGAGTAGTGATATAGTTATATATATATATATAACTATATCACTACTCTGTGTGTGCGCGTGTGTGCGTGCGTGTGTATATATACAGTATATATATATATATACTGTATATATACACACGCACGCACACACGCGCACACACAGAGTAGTGATATAGTTATATATATATATATAAGGTTTCCCTGTGCTAGCACATCAAGTAAAAACAAAACAAAAATGAAAAAATAAAGAAGACAAAAACATTGTGGCACTTTAAAGACTAATTGCTCTATTTTGTTGTGAGTATTAATTCCTGCTTCTGCATGCTATTGGTTAATTCCAAGCAAGCTGATACCTGCACCTTTTCCCCATGCAGATTAATACAGAAAATGTGAGGAGGGCAACCCCCAGTGCTGTTAAGATACTTCCTTCAATTATTAGAACAATTGTCAGTTTTTAGTTATTAGAAATTTCAGTTTATTTCTTATTAAGGTCTGGTTTTCCTTTTTTCTTCTTCACCAGATTTTCATGTATGCTTTAAAAGAACTCTATCCAATGCTCTCCTTCTACCAGCAAAAGAGTAGTAGAATATTCCCCACTTCATTTCTGTAGCTCTTTCTGCCACCTTATCTACTCTGGGACACAAAGGTACAGATTTCTGGCAGAAAATGCAATCGGTGAAGAAAAATGACAGGAAGGGATGTGTCCCTGTGGAAATCCACTTGTGCAAATTAGGATTACAACCACTTTTTCACCATAAACAACATTCACCTTTTCATGGAGTAAGCTTCAGAGTACCATTAAGACCCACCTCTGTACCACTACTATCATAAAATGAGGCTGTGTTTAAAAATTACAAACCAAGACCAGGGAAGTAAGTAAATTATTCATATCCCTACCTGTACACATTACAGAAGCAAATGTCCCACAGTGTCCATATTTGACAGGTTTGCATTTGCTGTGATACCACTGGCGAAGTATAGAAACGCTTCCATTCCACACTGAAGGATTAACTCCCTGAAGATAGCTATTATTGGAAGGAAGTCTTAAAATGCTTTTCTTCTTGTGACAACAGATCTGAAAACAGAAAGCTACTGATCTTAAAGGGTACTTCAGTGCACCACATCCACCTTGAACATGCTATGGATACATCACTTCTTGCTTGCTGGTAATTCCCTAATGGACCTGAAAGAACTGTTTTCAGTGAGAGAATATGCATTTGAATCTAACTCTGCACAAGGTGTTTACACAGATACTAACCTGCTGGTTTCCTTATTACAGGCATACATTTTTCTTATACACCTTTGCCACTTTCATGCATGAAAAGATGGAAATTTATATAAATATTTATATAGGCTTTCAACCACCTACATGCTGTTTTGCAAGACTGAATAAAACAGATTGCTGCTAAAATTGTGCAGAGGTTAAGATAAAAAAAAGGCTGATATAAAATGTATTTGCTATATTGACCCCGATATATATTAGGAAAAGCAGTAATGATTCCTCTAAGGGAAGATGGGCAACTTCTGCTGACCGAGGGACAATATCCCCCTTGGAACCTGCAGTGGCATTTGGGCTGGGATACCCAACACAATCTCTAAGAAAGGAAGTGGAGCCTTGTTTTTCACCTGCTCTTTCTCCCTCTAGCAACTACCAGCACCACCTGCCATGCTACTCTAGAGAGTTTTCCTACTCTCTAGAGTCTAGACCAAAGATTTGGGGACAGAGGCAGCTGGAAATAGAAGAATCTGGGAGAAATGCCTTCTTCCCCACCTTCACCTGCAGCATCATTCAACATGCAAAGTTTTGTTTTGCACATTAATATGTTTCTAATATCCCACCGCAAAACCTCTCCCATGGTCCAGGATGAAAAATTTGTCTTGATTTTTTTTTTCAAGTCATAACTTGCATCCTCTTAATCCTAATCCATAATCCTATTAAGATTAAAACCTCATTAGCATCTTGTTAAAGACAATAAAACTGCATGGCTTTTTTTAAAAAATGTTCTTTTAATTTGTTGTGGATGTTATTGCTATGAGGAATTTTAAAAAATTGCAGAGTAATTCAGAGATGCACTACTGTTTTTCAAACCTTTGAATCATTTTTCCTTCTGTTGTGGTGGTAGCAGCGGTGGTTGTTTATGGTTTTCTGTTAAAACAAATATCTTTGCAAAGCCGGCTCTACAGGTGGCTATAGGAAATTAAACAAGCCAAAGCCATGTTTCCAAGGAATTTTCCTTGAGTAGTGGCTGGATAGCTCAGTGGTTTAGGTATCTGGCGACAGAGCCAGTGACTAAAAGTTCAATTCCCCACTCTGCTTCCTGGGGAAGCACCACTGTGGGTAGCCGCAGGCAAGCTGCACAGTCCCACAACACCACCAGAAGAGAATAATAAACCACTTTTGAGAATTCTCCACCTCGAAAATCCTGAAAAGGGTCACCATGAATGAGAATTGATTTGATGGCTTGCAATTCGTAGCACAGTGGTTAAAACGCTGTACTGCAGCTAAAACTGTGCTCACGACCTGGGGTTCAAATCCCAGGTAGCCGGCTCAAGGTTGACTCAGCCTTCCATCCTTCCGAGGTCGGTAAAATGAGTACCCAGCTTGCTGGGGGTGCAATGTGTAGCCTGTATAATTAAAAATTGTAAACCGCCTGGAGAGTGCTTGTAGCGCTATGGGGCGGTATATAAGTCCAATAAATAAATAAATATAAATAAAATAAATTATTATTGTTTTCATGCTTGCTCCAATTCTGAGATGTAGCAACCAACATAGCTGACCCCCAGAAAAACCAAGGCAGATCAGTGGCAGAGTTTGCTTTGGGAAAGTATACCCACATGCTTAAATGTATAATCAGTTTGCTGAGGAATGGGCAGTGGAAGACACAAAAGTCACCATCATCTTCCATACAAAAAGGCCTTACCATAGCATTCAACACTCTGCTTAGGTACACAGGGTCATTACGACAGGAACAGTCCATGGCAGGATCCCGCAGGAAGTTTGTACTTGTGTCCAGAATTTTCAGGCAGATATCCAGAATATCATCCTGGAACTAACGCAAAAATAGGAACCCTCATTCAGAAGCCGTATGTGCAAGAAAAATAGGAAACATGTTTTCCACATTGCAACAGAAAGGGCAAAAGCTGGAGAAATAGGACATCTAGGGAAGTGTGTGGCATTCTCAAAAATAATATAAACAGTGTTGCTGATAACCAGAACATGAAGGTGAGGTAAACACAAGAATTAAAAAACTGGTGGTAATATTGATTTTCAAGACAAAAGAGGTTTCAACAAAGCTGCCCCCCCTGCATAAAATGCATACACGGTAAATTCATACTATAGCCATAAGCCAACTATTTTGTTTCTTTGATCACCTTTACAGCTAGACAAATGATCTGCATGCTACAACATGTCAATTAAGTTTGGGGGGTTTTCAGATTCTGAGGCAAAGAGGTGGTTGTCCCAAAATGGTCAACACAAAGACTCCCATGGTGCTAAAAAGACTACCATGTTTAGTATGGTTTTTTTTCCTTGCTTGATTTGATAGATGCAGAAGGAAGAAGATTTCTTTCATCAAAATCAAAGGAGTATACCTTTAATTAAAGAGGGTCGATACTGTGCTGTACAGCCTCAGTCTGATGTTACAATGCTGAAAATACTTGTTAAGAAGGAGTGAGCCCAAATGAACAGCCTGAATGAACCATCCATTGTTATATGTGCTGTATACCTAGTTGACATTGACTACATATCCTGTGCATTTGGAAATTGGAGAGTTCCATTCATTTTGAATATTCATACAACCGTTACTAGCACTAGCATTGAGGCTTCTAACCTGAGCAAACTACAAACCTGCAGCTGACTCCCACACATATTTAATCAAAAGTATGTACAATTACACAGGACTAAATCCCTTTGCTACCAGGGGACTTCATCCCATGTAATTGTACTTAGAATTTCGACTTCTGGACATCTAATGCTGGAAGCAAACTTAAAATTAACCTAGATCCAGGGACTGGAAACATTTCTCTGAGCAATAAATGTGCTACACAGAAGAGTGCAAACAGTTCATATGCCAATGCACAGGAGACCAAACCATATGAAGGGGAATATAAAAGGTGGAATTGAATGCCAGCCTCCTTCTCCTTTCCCTGTGCAGGAAAAGGCAACAGGAATGTACAGAAATCCACTACTGTCAAAGAGCAAGAGTCTAGGCCCAAGTTCTTATCATCTCCTTTTCAAGGAAAAAGAATGAGGAGCATGATTTTGCATAATTTATCCATTGAGTGAAGAAACATTTGAACATTTCTGTGATCAAATGCTACAGCGTTGGCTGTTAATTGTGACCCATTATAGTTATTGGGATGCAGATATTACCAACCAACCAACCAACCAACCAACAAACAAACCCAACAAAAAAAGCAAGAACACTGTTCACCTACTTAGACATGCCTAGCTTCTTCCTCTAGATGTCCACTGCAGAAGACAGAGCAATTTAAAACTGAAGAGGGCCTCGCATGTGTTTTATCCATTGAGTCATGTTACTTTCTGCTTCCAATCTATTCTTTTTTCTTTCTTGGTTTATTTATCAGCCCCATCCCAGGGTGTCAGCTAATATTACTGGCCTTTACACGCCCTCCTCCCCAACAATACACCTGTCATGGCAGAACTTTTGCTGTGTCATCTGGAAGGTGACAGAAATATTTCTTTGCTTGTAGTTATGATTGGCTTTTCACTGTCCTTTTAACAACTATAAGCCATATATACTGTATGTTGTTCTTTGTTCATATGTATTATCTAGGAATGTGAAAAATACTTCTTAATTTTGGCTGCCCAGACCCCAGCAAGATGCCTCAAAAAGGAATTTGGCAGCCTTGCAAGGTTCTTTGGACAGCTGAGAGCAAAGCACAGGGCCTTTTCCTTTCACTCAGTTTTTTGGTGTGTGTGTTGTTGTTGTTGTTGTTGTTGTTGTTTTTTGGTTAAGCCGTCCAAGGCTTAAAGCTGACAAGTCTCCATGCAACAAAGCATCTGCCATTCCAATTTACTTTGTTTTATTGCTTTAAGGGGAAAAAAATCTTCCTCACAAATGTATTAAGTAATCTGAATACAATGAAATCTCCAAGACTCTCACAGGTGAGAAGAGTGGTTTGAGTTCTTGGCCTTTTCTGTGAGGATGAAGTAACCAAGGATTTAAGCCTCTTGTATTATCCCTCACAACTGTTTGTCTCATAGCAATGGCTGCATTGAGAAAAACTGTAGTTAAAGAGTGGGCTAGACTGTTCCCAGCATGCCTTCTTGGGGAGACATCTGCCTATGAGCTTCAGGCAGAGGGTCTAAGCAGCCAAAAACACTTTCTTGTTGGTATCCATAGGCAGAAAGGAATGTCATATGTCATTGGCTCTCCTAATTCTGCCTGCCTACCAGGGGTTAAACCGAGAATGCCAGAAATATTGGTCAGTCTGCCTGACTTGGTAGGGAGGTTCCTTGCTTTTTTTAATGCCAAATTTACAAAATCATGTTGTATTTAACTGAAATACATGTTGGTTTCAATCTCTCCTTTCGCTTCTTTAATTTGGTCCTTAGGGGTATGGAGGAAATTCTGAACATCTTGTTGAACAAAAACATTGCAAGTGAAGAATGTCCGCCACTTGTTAGCAACCACTTTTGCCCAAGAGTAAAATGATACTGGTTCACAGACTAAAGTAAGTCACAGTATGCTTAAGACCTAGAATGCTGTATTTACCTGCCCAAAATGCCACGGATGTGCAGTTACATGTTTGGGAAGACCTTGGAATAAAATCCCATTCTCATTCAAGACATACTCTTCCCTGTGAGCTTGGTTGTCTAAATATACTTGGTCATCTGGGAAAGGAATATAAACAAAATATTGGAGAAAGTAACATTCACGTAGATAGGGTTTAGAAATAATGAGTTGGAATTAATACAATGACATTACACTTTTCACCTTTTGGACCAATGTCAGAAAATGGCCCTTAAAATCTGCTGTTTAAATGTTTAGTAGGATATGCTCCTCTGTAGAGGGCAATATCTCAGTCTCTTCCCAAAAGCAAAAAGGTCTATTGTTCCCTTTAAAAAACAGATTTATGCAAGGAAATCAAACTGTGGCCCTTAAATGCACTTGGACTATAAAGATTCCCCCTCCCATTTTTAGTTACCTGTAGGATGAACAAAAAGAACTGGATTCAAAACATAGCATTTTAACTGTTCGAGCTTGCCAGTTTACCAAGTCAATCTTGACATGAAAGAACAAGAGCACCTCATTGAACCAATAGAGCCTGTTAATTCTGTTAATGGACTCAAGGAAATAAGCATTTTGGTCACTTGTCCCACTGTTTGTTCTGCTTCAGAAATGGGTTGGTTCACTCTTTTCTAGCTATCACACAACATAATCATTGGAGCGACCTAAACCATCACCTTTCTGAGCTTCTAACAGAGGCTTCTACTTTTTTAGTATGGGGAGGATCACTCTGTTTTGGTCCATTTCTGGCATGTATGATCACTGGAAACAGATTAAAAGTGAGCCTTCTTGGCTGTCAAGGCTTCTTCCAGTTTGAATGTCCAGTGTTGTGACGTGGCTGAATAAGTCAGCCATTTCAGGATATTGGCAAATTGAACACTTTGTTTCCTTCTCTGTGGAGGGGGAGGGGAAGTGAAATTTATTTTAAGACTGTGGTAGCCTGTTGCTGAGGTGCTACATCACTTAAAAGGGAGAAAAAACATTATTTTCTTTGTATCTGAAGATTCTCAGTCATCCAGGTGAGGTTATCTGGAAGTTGAGTCATGGCAACTGGACTTCTTTCTTATTGGGTTGAAATGTTTCACTACTCATCCAAGTAGCTTCTTCAGTCTAAGGACAGTTGGTAGGAGACAGACATCCTCCATGTTAGTTTCACTTTCCCCTGGGCTGAACAGGATTGTTAGATGGACAAAGAACTGAGCGTGAGTGAAAATACCACCTCTGCAGTCTGAAGACTGAACAAGCTACTTGGATGAGTAGTGAAATGTTTCAACCTAATAAGAAAGAAGTTCAGTTGCCATGACTCAACTTCCAGATTATTTACTTTCGTGTGCCTGTCAAGAAATTACACACAGGTGAATCTGTGGAATTCCTTTTGTAGGGCAGTGGAATTGATCTTGATTCAAGTGCAATAGGAATGTGATCACTATGTTGTCAATATTTGTTAGTGATCAGCTAGGCAGGCAGTTTTTCTGAAGCACCTTTGTAATGAGGTCTATAGTCACAAGTAAAGCTATTTATAGTCTAATGCATAGAGTGTAAGACTAGGACAAATTATTCAAACCCATCCTCAATCATAACAACTCACTGAGGGGTGGCACTGATCAAACCACTCCTTAAAATTTCCCTATCCTTTCAAAACCTTATTACGGTCACCACCTTGGGACTTGTTGGCACTTAACAGAAGAAAGGATAGTAGGGGTAGTGTTTCATACAGCAACCTCAGGGCTCCCGTTGGTTTTAGACTGTAACTCCCACTAATAGATTGGTAAATGTTTTAACTAAGCTTAAAAACCTAAAATTCCTAATGCACGAAGGTCTCTACATCCATAATCCTAAGAGCACAGTTTTCATGCAACTCATTTCACCTCACAAGACTACTTTTCAATGGAAGCATGGCATCCATTTGGCTGTGGATAATTGAGCAATGAGTTAAGTGTGTGACTCATCACTTAAAATTACCAGGTGAGACAGCCGTCACATTGCACCAAAACCTGGAAAGTCCTATGGTACCTTTAAGACAAACAAATCTTATTAAGCATAAGCTTTTGTGGAGTGCTGTGTCTGGGCTTCAGTCCATGAAAGTTTATGCAAAATCAAACATGATATTTATTTAGGATTCTTTGTTGTTTCCCCTTTAAATTCATTTCCTAGCTGAACTGATGAATATATAGGCCTTTATAACTGGTTATGGCAAATAATAATAAAATAAACTGTTTTGGATCTATTCCACTAAACATAAGGTGTACTCATCAATCTGTCCTATACAAATATCAATATTTCAAGTTTCTGGTTTCAGGAAACATAATTTGATAAGTCAACAAGTTTTCCCAAAAGACTTAAACTAATTAGCAGATATTTCCCAAGAGTTTTAAATTAATTAGAAGATACCTGAATATGCAGTATCTGTATGGAATATTTGCTTCTTCTGTGCATGGATAAGTGATCCTGATACCTGCCTATCAAAACATGCTTACTCTTTCTGCTGGCAAAGTAAAGGTGCGTCCAAAATAGACATTCTCATGAACCAAGAGTACTTAGCAACCATCTACTGTTCTGTAATTTAATACTTAATTTAATCTTACCAGTACACCAAGGATTGAAAAGGACGTAAAAGTGTCCCAGATTTTGAAAGTGAGTGTGGTCACATGACACCAGGCACATGGTCAAACTGTAGCAGCCAATACAGGCATTGACCGGGGGCAGCATACTGACACTGAGACATCTTCCGTTATGGAGTTTGTAGCAAGCAGTCCAGTGGCTTTTGTCTAGGTCTCCACCTAGAGGGAAGACGCTTTTTGTCCCTAAAGATTCACAGGGTTTGGGGCCTATTAAAGGAATTTATTTTAAAAAAAAGATGAGTAAGAAGTATTTTGCATAAACTTACAGTCCATTAAAATAATAATAATAAAGAAGCAGAACATTATATGTGAAAGTAAAATGAGGCTTAGCTACCAAGTAGTGCAGAAAAATAAAGAATTCACAGTTCAGGCAAATCTTGACTCCAAAGCTTGTGAGATACAATATTCATGTCTTACAATATTTGGCTGGATTTTATGGTCCTACTCCAGCAATACAAAGCACAATCTGAATTATCTTTAATACAACAGTTCTGCCCACCCCCAAATGAAATAATGCATATTACAATACAATGTTCAATAGAGTTGTAGTAAATGTTCAACCCAGCCAATGATGTCTGATCTCTCCTTCCTTTCATGCATTGTGTACCCTATTCATATAAATAGTTGTACAATCTTCTCAAAATATTGTCCTTTAGTGCAGCAATCCCCAACCTTTTTCCCAACCGTGGACCGGCTGGGTGGAGTGTGGTCCATGGGGGGCACAGAGCACCCCCTGCTCGCAGTTGAGTGTGGTGCACTTATGAGGGGTGTACTTGTGGGGGCGCTCACATGTATGTTTGGGTGGGTGGGCCAGGCATGCATGTGGGCATGCAGGAGGGCAGGAGATCTGTCTCCATGGCCTGGTCCTGCCACTGACTGGCAGCAGGCCACGGACCGGGGGTTGGGGACCCCTGCTTTAGTGAAACCCAAGAGAGGTCTTTGAATTTCCTAAGAGAACCTGTGCCAAAAGGACCCAAACCAAATGAGGAGTTCCCTCCCCCTCAATTTTTTTTGAGATGAACAAATCTCAGAGGTTTTCCCCATACACCCCTTGTTTTTGTCACTATGAACAAGCATCCATAATCACATACAAAAAATACCAGTTTCTATCGTGAAGGTGATCTTGTCCTTGTCAGCATCCCACTCACGGTTTTGGAAGTGCACATAGAACTCAAAGGGCTGGCCACGTCGCACAATGAGTTTATCACCAGTAAAAAGCTGTGTGGAATGCTCGATGCAATTCTCAGCACAATTTAGGTCTATGTTTTTCACCTGAAGGGCTGCAGGACAACAAAGAATTGGGAAAAAAACCCCAATTGATTAATTTATAATTAAACATTAAAATATATATCATACGTATGTGGTTAAAACCATATGTGGTTATTGTCTGACTGCCAATAACCACATATGAAGCAATGATCATAGTCATCATGAAGTCATCAGAGCTTGCTGCTGACATTACATTGGCACCTATAAAGCTTCTCATAGAAGCAGCTGAGGTTGCCAACATAAATTCTACCTATTGGCGAAAGGGAAATGTTTTGTACAATCTGAGAAGCTACTGCATATGCTCAACCTAATCTTCATCTTGTTTTCCTAAATGAGATAGAGGTCTAACCAGCAATATTGAACCTGTTGACTAGTAGGCATCCTTCAGTCTCGAGAGACTATGGTAACGTGCTTTGTATTGAGGTCTTGGAACAGCGTCTAGTGTGGCTGAGAAGGCCGATTTGAGAGTGACAATCTCCTCCACATTGACGACAAATACAGACTGTCCCCTGTCCAGCTCCCTTTTTTGCTTGTTTCAGGACTGCCTCTTTGTCTTGGCCTACTGGACAAGTGTCTCTTCAAATTGGGAGAGGCCATGATGCACCGCCTGCCTCCAGGCTGAATGCTCAGACATCAAGGTTTCCCATCTACTGAGATCCATTCCTAAAGCCTTCAGATCCCGCTTGCAGATGTCCTTGTATCACAGCTGTGGTCTCCCTCTGGGACGGTTTCCCTGCACTAATTCTCCATACAAGAGATCTTTTGGAATCTGACCATCAGTCATTCTCACGACATGTCCAAGCCAATGTAGACAGCGCTGTTTCAGTAATGTATACATGCTGAAAATTCCAGCTCATTCTAGGACTACTCTATTTGGAACTTTGTCCTGCCAGGTGATACAAAAAATGCGTCGGAGACAACGCATATGGAAGGTGTTCAGCTTCCTCTCCTGCCATGCACAGAGGGTCCAGGACTCGCTGCAGTACAGGAGTGTGCTCAGGACACAGGCTCTATAGACCTGGATTTTGGTGTATGTCATCAGCTTCTTATTAAGCCATACTCTCTTTGTGAGTCTAGAGAACATGGTAGCTGCTTTCCCAATGCGTTTATCCAACTCGACATCTAGGGAGAGAGTGTCAGAGATTGTTGAGCCAAGGTACACAAAGTCATGAACAACCTCCAATTCTTGCGTGGAAATAGTAATAGAGGGAGGTGAGTCCACACCCTGGCCCATGACTTGTGTTTTCTTCAGGCTGATTGTTAGTCCAAAGTCTTGGCAGGCCTTGCCAAAGCGATTCATGAGTTGTTGGAGGTCTTCAGCAGAGTAGGCAACAATGGCTGCATCATCAGCAAAGAGGAAGTCCCGCATGCATTTCAGTTGGACTTTGGTCTTTGCTCTCAATCTAGAGAGATTAAAGAGCTTTCCAACTGATCTAGTCTGGAGATAGACACCTTCTGTTGCAGTTCCAAAGGCCTGCTTCAGCATGACAGCAAAGAACATCCCAAACAGGGTTGGCGCAAGGACACAGCCTTGTTTTACTCTGCTTCGGATGTCAAAGGGATCTGATGTTGAGCCATCAAAAACAAGAAGTGACCACCCCTAATTTTGGGTTGAGGCACTCCTTGCTCAGTCCAGGGGCTGCCCTGTCCTGTTGTGGGGTGGGGCCTACCACTATTCCATCTCCGTTATTTGCTACCAGAATCTGTTGCTTCACTCTGTTTGATGGCAGAATCTCAAAGATGGCTTCAAATGAGAGAAGGGAGTGTTCAACACAGCTTTATGAACTGCTAGCAAACAACTTGCACTGCTGCTCTATCTCAATAATAAAAGGCACTCATGGTCTGAAGGAAACCCTCTTGTCCCAAGTATACAATGTGTATCAGTAAACAGGATGCTAAATGTCTTTAAACTGGCTTTCCTACAGCCATTGACAGAATGTGGGAACATTGCTAGTCTGAACGACAACTAGCTCATCCTGGCTGGGGTATTCTGGGAATTGTAGCACCAAAATGAAGTGCTGCCATTAATGGCTGTAAGCAGGGGACATACTTGAGTGTGTATTGCCTGTGTGTGTCTTCTGTTGTCACCTTGATTAAACTTATTCTGTACCCTCCTTTGGCGTCATGTATATTTGGGGCAGGGTGGAGGCTAGAAAGAAAAAGACAGAGAAAAACAGCAGGAGCAATTTTTATATTTTCAGGTACCTATCAGGTGCAGAGCTTAACCGGCTTTGATCTTCTACTACTAATCCTCCATAATGTTAGGTTTATGGCTCTCTGCATCCAAACAGACCAGTGAGATTTCTCATGTAGCTGTTCTGCATGATTCTCGCTACATTCTACAGAGATGGAGTATGGAGTTCCTCTAAAGGACATATCCATATTTCAGGTTAATCATTGGATTTGCATGCACAATTTCATATTTAAAGTTCTCTTTTGTCATGCACTGCAGGACACTGGCCAATTCAAATCTTACAGCCGTGCCACCAGTCTCTTGATAGCATAGATTCAAAGTCACACAGTAAGAGAGGATATTGCTTACATCCCCTCATTGTGACTTTCATTCATTGGAAGACAATCAATTTTTAAAAAGAAAAAAAAAACAGGGAGAAAAAATGCATATTGACTAGAGACAGAGACTATAGTCTAGAATTCTCATGCGTTTTCAGTGTGTTAGTTTTGGTTTACAATATACGTGCAATATTGTATATGGTTCCCTGTGTTGTTTGTTGACTTTTCCAGCATTTTCCATGATGGTAAATATCACACTGATACACCCAGTGTGATGTAGTGGCTAGAGAGATGGATAGGACTCAGGAGGCCTGGGTTCAAATGCATGCTCAGCCATGGAAACTCACGGTGAGGTGGAACTAGTAAAACCACTCTTTAAATATCTCACTTACTTTGAAAAACCCCACTGGGGTTGCTGTAAGTCAATTCTCACTAGATAGCACATAACAAATCATCATGCTACCATGCTTGTTTTGTTTATGCTTATTTTGCCAGTTTGGCTCTCCATTATTTTCCCCCCTCCAATCTTAGATTTAATGGCTCTGATACTGGCAATCAATGTTTTGGGTAGTTTTACAATCTCCACCTCCCCAGCTCCTCACAGCTTTCTTAGATTCTCAGATTCCTCAGAGAAACAGCACATAGTGATCAAGCAAATCACAGCAGTCACAGGGTTTTTTGTATGACACAGTGTGCAGCATAAATGAAGTAATGAATACAAATTTGTCTGTGGGGGGGATATGGAACATGTGGCCACACAGATACTGTGGAACTGCAGGTCTCATCAGCCCTAACCAACATTGCCAGTGGTGGGAGATGTTGGGAGTTGAGCAACAAGATCTGGAGGGCCAGATGTTCCCTGCCCCTGATCTATACCCAGGATTATTCTGGTCTCTTAGATTAGGCAGGCTCAACTCCTCATCTGGGCTTCTGACTCCCAAATGAAAGTGTTTCTTTCAGATCACTTGCATTATGTGCTCATGCTGTTCCTCCTGGTTTGCCTCTCGAGGAGATAGAATGCAGCAATGAATGCTAATCCTTCCACTACATTCAGAAAGGGATAGGGATGCACATTGCTACCTAATTCTGAGGAAGCTGCAATCTTTATTAGTTACATCTCCTTTCATTCATTAAACTTTTGCCCTCAAGACATGACAAGCACAGCACAGGCCTGGTTAAAGGCAACTGTTAACAACAACCAGAAACAAACCTCCCATATTCAAGATATGTGTGTCATGCACTGAGAATAAATTGCTGCACTGGATATCACCATTCTTTCTTTTCCGTTTCTCTGGTATCCTGTTAGTTACAGCTAAACAGATGATTGATCTAGCTTCAAACAGCCATCCTGTCTCTTAAAACTGAAGAGCTACACCAACAAAATAACATTTTTTTTCTACGCATAGCATTTGACCACTATATGAATAATGAAATCAGAAAGCACGATGTTATGCCACCTCTGTATTTACATTATGGCAAACTAATTTTTTAGGAACAGGATGCTAAGGTTTTTGAAGTCCAGAAATCCTTACCTTCCATGGTGACTGGATTTTGAGTAACCTCAGACATTCTGCTGCACAGCTCACGGTTTTCAGCAAAGTGTTGTTGTATGCCAAATGCAATATGTGCCACTGGCATTTATACACCTAATAAAATAATCTCAAACCTATCACACAAGCAAAGCCAGGATGATTAAGGTGAGGTTTTACTCAAGTGCCAAGTGAAGCTCATAAAATGTGCCAGAAATTTATTCTAAAGTTCAGTGCTTCCACGAAAGCTGAAGAAAGTGAAAAATAGTTTACTTTCTTACTGTGGAATTTGCAGCTGCCCAGATATCCAATTCATTCAGACAAGTGATTTGCTGAAATTTATGAAATCAGTTAAGATACTAAGAAGGTGAGCATTAAGATCAATTCAGAAATTTATGTCAAACAGCAGTGCAAAACTTTTAGAAGTTTTTAAAAACTGTTTCAAATTTTTATTTTTTTATTTTTTATTTTTGGTCACATTATTCTTCAGATAAGAAGTATCCTTAGAACTTGTGACCAAATAGTCTGTGCTTCCTAGAAGGATCCAGGAACTAACAGAAAGTATTATAAATCAAAAATTCAATGAGAAGGTGAAACATAAGAAATGGATTTAACTAAGGCCACATATATATAAACAGAACCATGAAGGGAAAACATATCTGCATTTGGTATCTAAGTCAGGCTGTAACCCTGTGGAAAACTTTACCAACAATAGATTGATATAGATTAAGCAACTATTATAAACCACTTTACACCTTCCCATCTCACATCCTAAGGTCTCACAAGGCACATGAAGAAAGCAGGTCCCAAAGTTCTACTAGCAGGTTTCTGCAGGAATTTCCAAGGGATAGGGGTTAGAAAGCACTATAGGCTCCTTTATGCCATCCTGCCAGTCACCATAAAGGAGCCTATAGTGCTTTCTAACCCCTATCCCTTGGAAATTCCTGCAGAAACCTGCTAGTAGAACTACCTCTGCCCAGATGAACTTGATGCCAAAATTAAAAGACATCAAATGATTAACACAATTTTATCAACAAGAAAAATGTCGAGGAGAAGCAGATTAGCCATATATGACCAAATGGACCTAAAGAGCTGACATTCCCCAAACTTTCACCTCACGGGGAAATGAACTAAGCATTCCTGCATGATCCCATACTCAATACAGTATGGGGCCAAGTAGGGACACATACTAAATACAGTTAGGTTGGCTGACTGCCAGAACTGAAAAAGAGGATATCGATGAGGCATGGAGGACCTATATCTCCACCACCCAAACATCTTTCTAATATTTACAGTAAATTATAGTGGTGGGATAGTTCATCTCATATCCCCATTAACAATCTCAGTTGCTCTCTGTAGATGTTTGGAAATCAACTGTTCTTAACATGTATTTTATTGTGAGGTACTTTCTGACCTCAATTTATTCTTGTATCCCACCCTGGAAGAAATTTCTGCCTAGAGTTTTTCACTTGGATTTCATTTAGTCATGGTTTGCTGAAAAAAATGGCCTGGGACTATTCCCATCACACTAGCTGGTAGAAAAAGCACAATTCTTCCCAAACAGTGGAGAAAAATGAATACATTTGTTGTGGATACTTTTGTCCTGCTCATCCTTATTTTGTAGAAATGTTGGGGAATGTTGTTTACAACCATACAGGTGACAATGCCTTAGAATGCCTACCTTGTACTGTAGGTGTAGTTCTGTGTGAATTCTGCAGCCGAAGGACTCACGGAGAGTAAAATATATTGTCCCAGCACACTAAAGAACTTTTGTTTCAGTTTTGATCCTTTGAAGCCAACAAGTCTGGGCATTCCTCCAGCAGGCTCTTTGATGTTGTATTTTTAAGTCATAAAACAAGAAAAGAAGCTAATAATACAGTTATAGGGCAGAGCTCATCTTTTCTGCTCTGATTCAGCTGTTAAAAAACACATTGAATCAAAACTAAGGGAAGGTGAGTGAAATGTGCTTGTCATTATAAATATTTTCTCCAAACTGCCATATGGCACCATCAAATTTCAGGTACCTGACATAAAAGAAACAGATTTTCTTTTCTTATTTTGTGTTGCAATAGGACGCAAAAAAGATTTTTTTTGCTGCTGCTTTCTGTGGGTGTGAGAATGTATGCATTCATGAAATTGACAAAGAACAACAAATTTAGCATGGGAGTTGATGAAAGGACCCACAGTGTTAACAGACTGAAGCAAAACACACAATCTCTTGTATGAGGGTTACAGTAACTGAAAATGAAAGAAAGGGGACAATGGTAGATATTAGAGCATTGATAAGTTACTTTTTTGGACTATACCTCCTAGAATCCAACTCATGGAAGCCTGTGAAGCTAGGTTGGCCCCCTAAGTGGGGGTCTCAGGAATGCTATATTTCTTGGATTTAGAGATTTTAAAATATGTTTAAAATGTTTTACAATTTATTAGAATTGTGGTTTTAATATTCATAAATGTTCAATTCTTTTTATATATGTTCATACAGCATTTTAAAATATGTGCTTATTGTCTAGTTTTAATTGTTGTCAGCCTCCTTGAGTCTCTTATGGGAAAAAAGGGAGCAGACAGACAGACAGATAAATTTTCCCCAGTGCAATTATCACCTAAATATATCCAGACAGACAGACAGATAAATTTTCCCCAGCACAATTATCACCTAAATATATTACAGTATTGGCCAAAATCCTGTTGCTTAGTTATATGTGCAGAATGAAACAGTGTAACTTTCAGGAGCTTCTGTTGTTCTTTAGCCGTTAGTTGTTAAGTTGTGTCTGGCTCTTCGTGACCACATGGACCAGAGCATGCCAGGCTTCCCTGTCTTCCACTGCCTCCCAGAGTTTGATCAAATTCATGTTGGTAGCTTCAGTGCCACTTTCCAAGCATCTCATTCCCTGATGTCCCCTTCTCCTCTTGCCTTCACACTTTCCCAGCATCAGGGTCTTTTCCAGGGAGTCTTCTCTTCTCATGAGATGGCCAAAGTATTGGAGCCTCAGCTTCAGGATCTATCCTTCCAGTGAGCACTCAGGGTTGATTTCCTTCAGAATGGATAAGTTTGATCTTCTTGCAGTCCAGGGGATTCTCAAGAGTCTCCTACAGCACCACAATTCAAAAGCATCAATTCTTCAGCTGTCAGCCTTCTTTATGGTCCAGCTCTCACTTCCATACATCGCTACTGGAAAAACCATAGCTTTAACTATGTGGACCTTTGTCGGCAAGATGATGTCTCTGCTTTTTAAGATGCTGTTGAGGTTTGTCATTGCTTTCCTCCCAAGAAGCAGGAGTCTTTTAATTTCGTGGCTGCTGTCACCATTTGCAGTGATCAGGGAGCCCAAGAAAGTAAAATCTGTCACTGCCTCCATATCTTCCCTTTCTATTTGCAAGGAGGTGATGGGACCAGTGGCCATGATCTTAGTTTTTTTGATGTTGAGCTTCAGGCCATTTTTTGTGCTCTCATCTTTCACCTTCATTAAGAGGTTCTTTAATTCCTTCTCACTTTCTACCATCAGAGTGCTATCATCTGCATATCTGAAGTTCTTGATATTTCTTCCAGCAATCTTAATTCCAGCTTGGATACATCAGGGGCTTGTAGCTGGAACTTAATGAGCACTCATCAGGATACTCAAGCATACACCAAGCCAGTAAGCACACAGGCCCTGAGAATCCCAGCTGTGATTCATTAATTCATTAACTGCCATTGAGATACAACTAAATTTTAATCCATTAACTGCCATTAAGAAGCCACTGAATATTTTAGGATTAGGTTGGGTTAGGGGTTTTAATATAATGAATTTATACAGTGGTGCCTCCTATGATTTAGATCGAGCAAGTGCATTCTATTTATTGTTTATTTATACTGAAAAGTTTTACCCTGCCATCCTTCTAAAAAAGGATTTAAGGCCACTTACATTAGTACTATAAAAGACAATATTAAAAGCTAAAAACAGTAAGTTATTTGAATATTGAAAAATAATTCAATAAACATTATATCAAAAATACTAGATAAAAACATTAATAAAACAGATTTAAAAGCAACTAAAATATAAAGCTACAAAAATAGAAAACCATCTGATATTTTTTTAAAAACTGCCTTAGACAGCATGTTTATATTGAGATGGAAAGGAGAGAGAAAGTTGGCTCTCTCACACTGCAATGGCTAGTTTGAGGATACCTACGTAAAAGAAATTTCAGCTGAAATCAATCAAATTTACCATTTTGAAATAAATGGGTTTATAATTAAGATGATTAAATGGAAGTTTGCAGAGAATTGCAACTTTAGACATATGTTTCTTCAGGTGGCAGTTTTGCTTCTGAAGGTAATCTTATTAGACACATTGTGCTAAAAACTTTTCAAGACATCAGAATCCTAATTTGCAGTAATGAAACAGTTGGTCAATTGTATATAAATAAGTAGCAGTCATTATTTGTCTAAATCTTATTAACATTTAATCAAACAAAGCATTTTAACCACTTAAGAAAACCGTCCTTGCATCTCTTCATTAAGTAAGAATGTCTCTTTCAGAATAACAATGTTACTAGCCTGTTAGGTGAAATTTATTCCTTAATAATTGCTAACAGAAATACTAATAATTCTAGTCACAAACTCTCAGAAGCAAAATCTAACTTTACTACCAGACATCAGCTGGTCCCCAGTGTCAATACAGTGGTGCCTCGACTTACGAACGTCCCTACTTATGAACATTTCGACCTACGAACAGCTCCAGTCGCAACATTTTGCTTTGACTTGTGAACGGAGCTTCCACTTACGATTCAGATTTCTAACTGTAGGTGGTGACGAAGCTGCTTTGTACTGTAGCTCTTTCACTTTCGGCAGTTAGAGAGTGTGTCACCGTCATTGGAGGCTTTGGAGAGCCTCCTTCTGCTTCAGAGAGAGAGAATTGGCTTCGGGGAGAGAAAGAGTGTGTGTGTGTGTTTTTCAATGCATTCCTATGGGAAATGGTGCTTCAACTTATGAACATTTCGACTTACGAACACCATTCCAATATGGAC